AGAGACACGCTGCTGCTGGAGAACTCGGAGCCCCTTTTTCAGGCTGCAGAGAAGCTCTGAAAACAGCCCAGCCACGTGGGGCTTTTACAGCCTTCAAAGGTTCATAAACACAAGAACATCAGGGATCACACCACAGAAGGTGAGACCACAAGAACACCAAGCTGTCAGTTTATCTTCCAGAGCATCCTGGAGTAACCGTCATCCGTGGTTTAGGGACAATCAACAACTTAGGGATTTCCTAAAACAGAGTTGCACCGTTACTACCCACTCGTGGCTGTATCCAGCGACTTGCAAAGGCTGCATTTTTCGTCCTGCGGTTCTGACCTCCACTATTTCCTGTGCCAAGGACTTATGCAGCTTGATCAGCTGGCCTGCAAAAACAAAAAACACTTCCTGCTTTTTGTTTTAATGTGTCTACCAGATGATTGCAAACGAAGACCTTCTGTTTCTCATGTTACAAGAAGTTGCCCTCACTCATTTCCAGAGGCAGTTCCCACCTCAGGGACAGCAGGGTTCATCCCTGCTGCAACTAAATAATCCTCAGTAAAATCTTACTGAACTTTATTTTTCTCTTTTGCTAAGCTTTTATATTTTCTTGTGCTAAGAAGAGGGCACATACAAGCCCCAGGCCCAGCCCCGCAGCACACCAGAACAGAAAGTGGGCTACACCTATACAGTCAGTAGGGCATTTCCCTCAACAGCCTAAAGGTTGCAGAGACAGGCACATGCTGGAGTTAAGATGAGAGCAAAAAAGCAGTGTGTAGGATGAAGTTACAACATCCTTCAAATCATAGTGGCAATTTTTTTCCTCTTCCCAATAAAACAAATAAATATTGTCATCTTCTTAGTATTAACTTGACAATCAATAAGATATACTGTTCTGGTTTGGTAAGATGTTATCTTAGGCTTCCACTGTTTTATACATACCTGTATAAACACACACACGCACACACGTATGTGTACACCTACTACAATTTTTTTTTTAAATCCTTGCCAGCTGAAAAGCACTACAGCTGCCACATCTCTTATCATGGTACTGACAACTTGTATTTTGCTTTACAGTCACCATTGCAAGCTGAAAAGTCCTTGTCTGTTGAGTTTTTCCTTGCACGGAAGCCTCTAAACAGTCTCATGGCCTTTCCCAGTACTTTTTTAAGCCCTTTTTTTGAATGAGATTATTATAACTGTGTGTGCTACCCAGAATGCAGCAGCCATGGATTTATAGTGGCATAACTATAGTTTTCATTTTCGTCTCAAGTTTTTTCATAATAATTTCTCACATTCTAATTGGTTGAGATTTTCTTGGTCAGCCCTGGTCAGTGCATATATTACTCTGTTTTTATCAATGTTTAATTTCCCAAACTATTTTCCACTTAATTCTTTTGTTTGGAAGGATAAAGTGGATAAATTCCTAAAACTAAATATGCATTTATGACAGTGCCATAAAAATCATTAAGAAACAAGAACAACAGGAGATTTTAATGGGAGCAGTATAATAGTACAGCCTAATCAATTTTGGCACTTAAGACCTTGTATATCAATACCCAGTGACAAAAATTGGTAAAATCAAGACAATCTACAATCAGATCAGTCGTCCCTATTTCAGGTCTGATGGCTATGTAGTCAAGAGGAACCGTCTTGGCCATATGAATTTAACTTGCTACAATAGATCTGTAACAAAACTTATCAAACTGCTGAAGGACCAGAACCCAGAGACTTCATAACCCGGGCTCAGCTCTGTGTGAAGTGAGAATATTTGCTTGCCTCGGACTTCAGGTGCCCATGAACCTCTCCAGTATGTTAGAAATAATAAATGACAAAAACACCCAAGAGCTGTCTAAACATATTCAGATGATATACATCTTACTATAACTGATGAAAAGATCATTAGGACACTGATTCAAAGCAGTTTCTTCATCCTGCAATAGAATACCTATCACTGGATATTGTCAGAGTATATGCTGATTTTTTTTGATTGAAATGACAATTTTTGCTAATGTTAATGCTAAGGGCTAGTAAATAGACTATGACTAACTCAGATGCCCTTCAGATACCAAAATCACTATAATCAGAAGGAATAATCTTCAAGAGCATTTCAGATTTCACAGAAAATCTGACTATAGCAGTTGCATTGAATAATCTTCTCATAGGTCTTTTAAAATTCAAACTTTTCACAGCTCTTTTTGACAGGTGCATGTGCAGAGGTAAGCCAGACTGCTGACTGAGCTAAGATGTAAAGATGAATGTTTTGCCGGTTCATCTAGCGTATATGATCCTACACACGAAACTCCCAGAGGAGCTGCAGTGATGATTTAAAAATTGAAAAAAGAAATAATAAAAAAACCACACACACCTGTTTAGAGAAGGCATCAAAACATCAAAACACTCAAACAGGGAGGGACCTCTTTCTCCCAGATTCTTGCATTGTCTTTTCCTGATCCCACTAATCAAGTTTGCAAAGGCAAGTTTCTTGCAGCAATGTTTTGCTAGAAACAAAACTATCTTTACGCAGGGCAAGACCTAATTGTAATCCTCCTCCTGTTACAAATTACTGTGTTAATTAACACATTTTTGATTTCTTGTAGCAAGGCATTCAGCTTCAGGATCCATACCTAGCTGTCCTGGCATTGCTGCTGCATTGCAACCGCAAACGGGCTGCTTTAAAACAAGCTAGCTTCGGCTCCAGCAACACTACAGGCCCTGGCAAGGAGTTTAATGGTTCACTTTTGTGGGTCTTTTACTTAAGGTTGGACAGTTTACTGAAAGGTATAAGTCTCATCTGAAGGCAATTAACCTTTTCTTGACTGACTGGTAGTAAAGCATCCATATCCTGACACTGATGTTATATCCAAATCCTGGAAAGAAATTCACTCAGAGATGGTAATAGGAATCTGATCAACACATATACACCAAAATGAATATTCCTTACAAATGGTATCTTAGAACATGTTTTTTTTAATTCTCATTTGTAAAAAGAAAAGCAGTTCACTGTAAAATAACTTTTTGATTATAAAGTCTATGTTCTATTAGAAACAGATTCATAGGTGCATACTATTATCATTTTAGCTTAGTTATTGATAAGCCTCTAATCTTAACTTAGAAACTCTTCCTAGAGCAGATGCCAGCACTGCTTGAGTAACATAGTTCACCTTGGGGCAATGCAAATAATTTTTTCCAAATGAGTCATAGCAGTAAAACATTAAAGCTTCATCACTTAACTCACTTAGCAAATACAATGATCCACAAAACTTCATCATTCAACTGCAATGACCAAATTTACCAATGTTCAATTTAGAGTTAATATTTATGGTTCAGGAAACAGCCACAATTTTTTTTTCAGAAAGGACTAGCATTTTTGGGGACTGTTGCTAGAAGTATGGCAGGCAACTGCTCTATTTGCTAGCAGAGGCAAAATGCTACGCTAGACATACCTGACATGGCTCCCCGTTTATACAAAAATAAACAAAAAAAAAAAGCTGGCGACTGTAAGAGCAGCACCTTAGTTCCAAAGCACAGATTTAGGCAGTGGCAAGACTAGAGATGACACCTGCTCTTAGTAATAAAGACTTCCTTTTAGCACATGTATTTAATTTTGATAGCAATAATACTGAAAAACAAATCTGTCTCCATCCTCAGACCCTCCTCAAAAAAAAAAAGGGAGTTGTTATAAATTGGCAAGGTCAACAGGTCTCTTGAGGGGTGGGGGTGCAGAGAGAAAGAGAGAGATTAGTGCACAGAACCCAAATAAATTAATTTTAACGCTGCTATGGAAAACTACTTGGTTTCCTGTCTGAACATCAATTTCTTTACTTCTAAAATAAGAATAATCAGAACTATTTAGAATAATAATTAGTTATTGTATATTTTATAGTAGTTCTCTTTAACAGAACATGACTTCCCCAAGCAATGCTGTGACTTGGAGAACCAGTCACATTCCTCTCAAGCAGCTGGAAAATTCTTACCTGCAACAAAATAAGGACCAAGTTTGAACCCTTCCCAATACTACGACTTGGCAAGATGATTAAGTAAGCAACCCAGTATGTAAAGCTAATATTAAGGGATAAAACCAGGAACAATAAGAACTGAAATAAGCAGCACGTGCTATGCATGTGTCATAGCATATCCACAAAGAGACTAACAGCTGCTCAATGTAGTAAGCAAATCAAATGGTCTTAGCCACAACTCAACCTTACAAAAGCAGCAGGTCACCTGAAAGCATTCCCAGGACAAAACCCTTTGTACTCAACAGCTACCAGTCAACTTAAATTTCCCTTTCTCAGTAGTTCTTAAAATAATCAGTATATCAACAGAATGTACTGTACGCCAAAACACCAAATAGTACAAGCACACCGGCACATAAAATTCTCATTAGATTTCAGTTTGAAAGTATTTTGCTTGTGGAAACAATACTCCATGACATACAGCAAAACTGTAAACAGCTTCTATATTAAAAAGTTACTGCCACACATCCACTTCAGCTGATCATTTTCAAATGTTAATAATTTTCACAAAGCTTGTTTTCATTGAAATTTGATATACTGACTCTCAAACTAAGGTATAGAGGAGCTGTCCTGTATTTTTTAATTGAAATGCACAGGGATAGTTTGAAGAGCTATTTCGTATCTTGCGCAGAATACAAAAACATTTGCTAACAAAAAAAAAAAACTATCACATCAGCAGGAGATGCTAGAATCTTAAAATCTGGCAAGGACACAGAACTTGTTTTTCAGTGGCTCAGTGAAAACAGCTTTTGATTTAGTGTGTGACTTTTAATTAAATAATAGTCCTTGCTGACAAAGTAATATACTTCCACGTAAGCAAACGGGAAACTTCAGTGCAGTGTCAGGATACTGACATTGGTCAGGCTGTACTGTGGCTCACCTTCTTCCTGAGCTGTCCCTTCTCTACCTGTACATGCAAACACACCTTTGCAAACACTGCCAGCCAAAATGCCTTGATCCAGAGCATTAGAACACTCAGCTGCCTTCCTATTGTCATTCCCCTGGATGGTGAACAGTTATGATTTCAACAATGTTTAACCGTAAGTGTAAAAATACTTTTTAGGTGCAGATTTTGAGGGAAAGAAGTTGCCTGGGACAATTCATCAACTATCTCTGCTCTGAGAAGCAGGTCAGTCCTTGAAGTCACTATTGTAGCAACAAATACATGTTCCACTAAATCGTAGTGACCACGCAGCCACTTTCTATGTCCGCTAAGTGGCACTGAGGCCAAATTTCAATGTCTTAACTGAGACACCATTCCACACCTTTTCTTGTTAACAGCATCTACTATTAATTTCATTTCTGACCTCTTCCTACTTAATAAAACATAGTTGCTTTTCACCTATTATGTCAAATCAACAGACAACAAAATTAAAGGTTTCCATAACTTCAAAACCTAAGCAGAAGGAACCAACACTCTAACAGATGAATAAAATGGAAAAGGATCCAAAGAGAATAAACATACGCATCTGGTGAGTGCAGTAGTTGCTGACTTACTATGTCTTTACTCTCCTCTTTGCAATTTATTTCTTTGATCCTCTCCAAAACAGCCTTCTCAGAAGGTTTAACTATTGCAGATCCACTGCTGAGCAGAGTTGCGATTTGCTCTTTAAAAGTCAGTAAAGAGCTCTGAGCAGTCCTGGCCTCCTCTCTGCTGCTCTTCAAGTTTGCATCCAGCTTGCTGGAAGATTTCTTCAGATTGTGCAGTTTCCACTCTGAGGCATCCAAAGCTTTCTGGTTAGCAGTCAGTTTATCTTGGAGGTTTGTGATCTCCATCTCCAAACTCTGTCTCTCTATTATAGCGCTGTCAAGATCCTAAAATACATGAAAGATTAAATCAGGCTTTTCAAATTTGTTATAACCCCTCCCCTCCACATGAAAAGCAGGGAATAACTCAGAAGCAGGTACTGCAGATAGAGAAATTAGGACCCATATTGCTCATATGGGCTCAATATCAGTGCTTTGTAGGAGAACTCTCACTGAAATTGATGAAAACCCAAAGCCTGCTCTAATCCCACTATAGACTAACCTCTTGCAGTGGCCTGCAAGAAGTAATACCCGAATAAAATTTGCAGGCAAACAAAAAATATTTTTTTAATTGTAAAACTATTGCTATCTTTTTTTTTTTTTTCATTCAGGTAATATGACTTAGAAAACAAAGAGTGAACAAGTTGTAACACAAATAAAGACAAGGTACTACACCTTGGAAGGGAAAGCATAGAACAGAATGTAGAATAGAATACTTCCATTGGAAGGGATCTGCAACAATGACCTAGTCCAACTGCCTGACCAATTCAAGGCTGATCGAAAGAATGCAAACAAACTCTTCGAATCTAGCATTAAGAGTACAATTAGAGGTGATCTCTGAGATCAGCTTACCTGAATCTGACAGAAATTCCTGAGATTAGAAATGGGGAGTGAGGGGCCAAACAAAAAAAGATGATGATGTTAAAGCAGCATAAAAGAAGATACAAGTGCTCAAATACCAGTTTCACTTCAAAGAAGAAATCCTTAGATTATTAAACACTCAGAAAAATTTTCAGAGGGAATTACTCTAAGCGATGTCATCTTCTGAAGAAAGCAAAATCGCTATTACCATAAGGTAAAATTTACCTGAGGAATACAAGAAAGTCAATGAAGAGCTGTGTCCTTCCACAGAGCCTGTAACTGCCCTCATCTGCTGCTCGGCTGAGCTGTTGGTGTGGAGAAACACGGCTGGGGAAGGACTAATGGGATGGCGGTTCTATCTAGTATCCTTGTAACTTTATTATTTTAAGAAGTCAGTCCCTTGCATTTCTCAAAGACAATGTAGTCTTTAGTATGCAGACAGGGTACCGTAAGATAAGGCTACTTGCTGAATAGACCATAGGATTTACTGCTCAGGGACATCCGTAGATCTTCAGCATTTTGTCATGGTTCTCATTCGGCCCCTGATACCCACGATCCTTTCCTTCTAAGCCCAGGGCTTTTAAAAGTTATTTTCTCTTTACCTTCTGATAAATGAAGTCTCGGTTTCAAAAGAAGAAAAAACAGCCAGTACCCGTATATCTATGTCAGTTATATATAAAATACAGACTCACAACAGGGCAGACCAGACAGACAGAACTGCGCATCCTTATCCTTGATGCAAAATCAAATGATGATAGGAAAATTAAAGAAAAATAACCCATCTAACCGTAAAGAAAAATCATCTCTCGCTCAGTCAGCTTGTGAACCTCTTTCCTTTCCCCACAATACCAATATTAAGAGTGCTTACACATTCATATGCAATAATAAAATTTGCAGTGATACTAACTAAAAGTATAGCAAACACTAAGTCTTCATTCCTCAGGGTATCATTTGATAGGAATAAATGGGAGAGAATATTACTTCACACAAGACAAAAAATTATGCCAGAGGATGGCATATTTGTAGAGAATGACAGAATTTCTCTGGAAGTTTCAGTTGTTTAGTAGAGGCTCAGTAAGTGGATTGATAAGAACTACGATTGTATACATTGGAGTTAAAAAATTGCTCCTGGAGCAGCTGTGAATATGGTGGCCACTCAAAAGTCTCTCAGGGTCTAAGTGTGCTTGCCATGTAGCACAGTAAGTCATTTGTACTAACGGAACACATGCCAATCAAGTCGTAAATCTGGGAGTATTTATGTAGATCAGCAGTAAGGATGGACAAAAAAGGAGTTTGGGAGGCACTCTTGGAAATAAAATATAAAAATACGATACTAAAAATACTAGAATTTTTAAATAGCTTCAAAAAGGCAAACATGCAAACACATAAATGAAAACAAACCAAAACAAACCCTGTCATTTAGGAAATTATTTGTTACTACCCCTTTCTAAAGTAACTGTAGAACTCTCTTGGAAACAAATGTTGGCATGATTCTTTGCCATTTTTTCTTTTTTACTCTAAACAAGTTCTATTAATAGAAAATTCCCACCTGTGCTCAGAATTACAGTATGATAATTACAGCAAAGAATAAAGAGTGGTTTATTTCAATTACAGTTTTCAGCAGTGTGTATTTGTCTTTTCAGAAAGGCAATGCAAAAGTAGTTTGCCAGTACCAGGGAGCTTACTTAATTACAATCTTGTTTCAAATTGTGAACATCTGCAAACACACACAGTTGAATGAAAAGATCAAGGTATAAAATAAGGAACTGCAATCTGATGTCTGAACGTTAAAAAAAAAAAAAAAAAAAAAAAAAAACAAAAAAAAAAAAAAAAAAAAAAAACAAACCCCACACCACACCCACCAACCCAAGCAATTTACAGAATGAAAAGCTGTAAAACTCAAAACGTTAAAATTCTGAGCAATCTTCCTTGAAATCTTTCTTGAATGGAGAGCATTTAGACTGGTTAGCTTCAGCAAGGACAGTCTGACTGTTGAACAGTTTCTGGAAATTTAAGGACTGTGACACGTAATGGTGGTATCCCAACTAGAAGCAAACCTCTAAGAGCCTAAGTGATCAATGCAGGCAGACGAAACAATTTCCACTCCCACAAGGCTGAACGGGTGGAACTGCAACAGCTCATGTTTTCTCTTTGGCTCCTCAATGTTTATGGCTAATGTCCCATGGCGCTGAATTATATGAAGGTTTTGGTATGCAGCTTGTAGGGTCGAAAAAACTGCCCAACACTGACACATAATAAATTTTGAATACAAGAATAATTACAAAAATTGATTTTCAAAGACAACAGAATTAGACGTCAAGTGGATTTAGCCAGGGTAGACTGTTTGATGACTGATTGCTAGACACAAGAAATGTAGCAGATGTACCATGGCCATGCTCACCTGCAGATGTAGAAAGCAGCACCAAAGGTTCTTAAAACTATCTGAGACCAGAGCAAAAGGGCTCATATGGCACAGTGCTGTACTTAAAGTTACTCATTCAGGCCGGGACATAGTCTACCCACGCTTACCCGCTGGCACTCTACTAGCATCAGACTAGAGAAGACGTAAGAGTACCCAGACCATTGAACAAGACACAGGCAAGACCTCCTTCGTGAGAAATCGTGTGTTCAAGATTAGAGCAGCTGCGTTCACAAGCTGTAACAAGTGAGGAAAATTAATGTCTTTTAAACAGAGAAAGAAGACTTTTTTATAAGGAACAGCTAAAAGAGTTGCATTGAACACTGCAAAACAAAGTGAGGGAGATATGATCACATTAAAGACGCAGAAAAATGAAAGCGAAGAAACAAGAAGAGATAAAATCTTTTAAGTGATAATGTATATTAATACATATCCTCACTCCAGTGATCTCAATATCTACAATGCATTTTTTTAAAGCTATGATAACTCTTCCTTAATACATTGTATTCTTTCATATTTCTCAAGATTTCAACTAGCATGTCTTAGTACATGTATCAGGTCTGTTGGTCTTTCATTTCATCCAATAATCATTTTTTAAAAACTGGATACTAGTCAAAGTGGTTGCTATTTCTGAGGCGGTTTTAAGTCAGATTACCTACTGTAACTAATAATTGATCTATTTCAACTTTGAAATTCTTTAGAACATCTGAGTGAACACTACCTACTCCAAAGTGATACAGGTGTTCAGACTCAGTTTTCCAGAGCTTTGAATACCTCTTCTACGTCTCCCTTCCTAAAACAAAACTAACAAACAAAAACACCCACAACCAAAACAAAAACAAATAAAAAAACCACACTCAAAAAAAACAGCCAGCATAACTGAAGCAAATTCAGAGAAAACACAACAGGTTCACATCCCAGAAGTGCTGTAACATTTGTGTTACAACCAACATTTGTGGTTGCAAGTAAACACAAATTTAATTGCTCATTTACCTAATCGTACACTGCAAAAATTAAAATCTTTACTTTTACCTAATCCAATACAGTAAAACAGGCTGTGAAAATTGGTTTTCTCTAAATATTTTGCATGTATGACATTACAGAAATATGTCACACTATTAAAAAAGCCACTATTGAGGCTTTGCAGATGAGGTTGTGATAATAATGGTTTTTATCTCCAGCACCAGCTTTCATCTTAACTTTAAAAAAATAAAAAACAGCAAAGATTCTCTTTTGTACTGAAATTTTTGGCCCTAGGAATGGCTTTGTTCAATTTTAAACTGCTGAGCAAATTTATTTTTAGTTACATGAATTTCTAAAATCTGTGGGCTTCCAATACCAAAAATTATCCAACCACATTTTCTTATTCATTTCCGTGTTGGAATCAAGCCCAGGTGCTTGCAAGTTCAACAACATTTAGTTTCAGAAGCTCTGCAAAAGTCCTCCCACAAAACACCTGCGGAAGAGAGGATGGCATGAAGATTTCCCTTTCCACTGAAGAGCTGTGAAGCTTTAATTACCTTTCAGGAACAAACAGCATTCTTTTCTGTCTTTCACTGCTCCTACGCATGGAGTAGCTCCTAAAACAATTTCTCACTGGAAAGGAAACTGAATCATCATTTGTTGTTCAGATTAAAATGGAGAGGTTTCCCCACAGACCGCACATAGACTACAGCCACCTAATCACACAGTCTGTATTACCCAGAGCCCTGTAGACAAACTACGTGGACATACTCCTCCCGAACCCCATGAAAGTTTTTCATAGAGGTGGTTATCAACTCGGCAAGCCTCTATAGTCCTTCTTTAACTAGTTACTCATCAAAGTTACAACTATATTTAAGTTCTGCTATTAAAATAGATTGTATCGAACATACATACTGCATGCCATTTTTTAAAATGTCAAAATTATTTTCATAGAAACACTGTAAGAGAGATTACTCTTCTGAAAGCTATTTTCATACTTGATACCAGCTTTGCACAAAACATATTCTAGGGGAAATCCCAAGCC